ATTTTGAATGTTACATATTTCAAGTGAAATAGGAAAGGAAGGTTGACTTTCTGCGCTAGGTGCACAAGAGACTCACAAAAATTGCTGTAATTGAAGCGGTATGGTAGGGCCCAAATGGACCGGAGAAGTTTAGGCACTAACAATTTGCTCACGTATTCCACGTTTGAGGTAGCTATTGATCGTGGTAACTCTTCAGTGAACCCTTGATCACGAGCAGCCATTCATTGCCAGGAGCCTTCTCACCCTCTCCTGCTCCAACCCGTGTGAGACAACCATATATGTTCACAGGTATGTTTATCTTACTTCCCATGGTACTTTCTTTACACATACCATCTTTTTCACGAAACGAATCCGCACATTCTATCATGATCATCGTAACATGGACATCCTTTTTAGTCTTATCATATACTCATAAATCGAATACGATCAGAAGCTAAGTAATAGGTTAAGGTGGTTTGGGTCTTTCGCGAGAAGGCAGTCTGGCATCGCTCCATTCGGAAGACGACTACCGAGACCACAATATGGCATTGCGGTACCGGCTGTACAGCCGGCTTGACCCTGGAGGACAGCAACTGGTAAGAATGACAAATTGTTAGAACCAACTTTTTGAACCGGCATTTATTTTTATGATGGTAGTGCTTACGATACTAGAGAGTTTCTTGCTGGATGTGAGATTCGAGTCCGATCATTAGTTTTGATATGGAAAATGGAAGAATGCCGTGAATTTGCGAATGTTCAGTTGGGTTCTTTGTAGAAAAACGGATTTTTTCTCAAGTATTTTCATTTGTCGATACATGAAGTTTTGAAAAAAAAAACCTGAAACCTCGCATTTGAGACCTTTACAGCCTGGAATGGCGCTTTCACGTGATTTGCGTTCTGGTGACTGTTATTCGCAAAACTGACCACTCACATGCTTGCTGACATGTGTTCCTTGTCCCGTAAGAATATGAAGCTTGAGACCACATCTTTTTGCCTTCAGTTCCAAATGATCTACTTTACTCCTGCCTCTTTTCATTTTGATGCGATTGCAGCGACAATGTCTTCGTATCTAATTTTGGTTTTTTTTCTCGCAATGTTTTTTGTATTTGTTAGAATTTTGGCGTAAGCAGGCAGTTTGGTTTTGGAAAAACGGATCGTGATCAGCTACCCCCTTTTGAGAATAGCTAAGAACCATGAGTTTACTCCAGTTTACCATGTGTTTACGAGAGTTGCACGGACCTCACGGGGTTGATTCCTTTCGAATACTTATCTATTACCGTTCGAAGACATTGAGGGCAGTGAGTACTAAACGAAAGGCAGTCTTGGTCACAGATGCAGTTAGCGAGATGTTTGGCGGAGATTATTTCCGGTTAGCAGGATTACGTTACGCTTAGGAAAGAATTTTTGGCACTGTTGCACTATTACAAGCCCAGGAGGCGTGAGACAGTCAAAAATTTTTTTTCGCTGGAAATTCTCATATGGGGTTCATAGAGGTTATCCTGATCACGAATATGATGTCTATTTTCGGCGGCTGGTTTCCAATTGGGCCAAGATGGCGCACGCTGACCTGCGAATTCGTGTAAACCTCGGATACTATAACAGGGGATAATTGTTGTTTTTGTTGAACCCTGGTTACGGATTGACATCGTTTGTGCCGTTGCACAATTTGATGCCTATTTCTTGCGCCCCACTGTTGGTCGCTATGTGATAACCAGGAAAGGTCATTAGGCCAACCCGGCCAAATGAAATGAGGTGCACATTTCTGTACGCAGCATGAGACGCTGAACTCAAATCTGCTTTCATTATCTGCTGAACTCTTCTCTGAAAGGAGTTACGGAGGGTTTTTGTTGCCGCCCTTGATTTTCAGTGTTTTACCTGCAATCACATGTTAGCCGCACAAAAGTATCGAAAGGAGAACCGAGGCACTGGGTCGTGAGCCTCGGTAGCGCAGTTGGTAGCGGTCGTGTTTCTCACGGAGGGGGTCGGGGGTTCGGTCCCTTACGGGGTTTGTTGTTTTGCTTTTTTTCCAACATGGCTGAAAAGCCTTTTTGAATCTGTTATTTTACCAATGGTCGCCCGACGCTACATCTACGAAGAGTTTGCAAGCTGACCTCTCTTAAACTTAAGCACTACTTGTCTGTGAAAGCCTATGGTGCCCGTAGTGCAGGTGCTATGCTTTTCCGTGGCAAGTAGGTATGATATTCGTATTCAGGGGATCAAACTACCTCTTACAGCGAGTTTTTCGCCAAATCTGAGGCGACGAACTAATTGAGAAAAAGCGGGGCAGTGATGGGATTACCACTCCTCAAACTCCACTTTTTTGGGTTGACCAATCATGGACGACGGGGGAAGGGGAGAGAAGGTGTTGTATTAGGAAATAATGGTTTGTAGATCTTTGGATGATGCAGACGGGCAAGCCAGACACAATTTTCGTTTATTATGAAAAGTTTTGAAAAAATTTATTGTACCCAAGTGCCAGCCTTTTGTAATGGATTGGTGGATCGGTGAGTAAGTGACTGCCGAAATTTTCGACCAGTTAGAGTACACTCAGATTCGCTAGAGGTTCGCTCAAAGGGAGAGTCTGACTCCCTGATTACGAATATCATACTTGTTCGAAGCAAAAATGCCTGGCGCCTGCGCTACAAGCGCCCAAAGTGGTGAGGAGCGGTGCCGCCCAAGTTCATTATTAATTGCCCTCAAATTCTTTTTACTGTTAACTATACGCAAGCATGTCGGCTAGCAATGTTAGGAGTCTTCCTAGCTATCTCTGCAGGAAAGAACAAACTCGCCAGGGAGTTGATCCCCTGACCTCTTTTTCGTGAGCCTCGACCACAGCCCCTGCGCTTTTCTGCTTCATAATTCCTTTCAGAGAAGAGTTCAGCAGATAAGGAACACATATTTGAGCTCAGCGTCCCAAGGCGCGTATACACATATACATCTCATTTCAAATGGCCGGGTTGACCAAATGACCTTTCCTGGTTAGCCTCTTTAAGATAGTGGAGGGCTCTAAAAAGATGACCACAGAGCTACTCACTTTGTGGTCTCATACGCTCCAAGCTTTTGCCACACGGTGCTTAGGTAATCCAGTACACCGCAATCACTCCCTTTCTCTAGGTTTATTCCTAGGAGCTAAGTCAGAGAGCTCAGAAAAGCAGAAAATCAGCGTTAAAACATTGCGAGCGACAAAATGTCATATTCGTAACCAGGGCCTCAAATAACTCCCATACAGAAGTTTACTGTTAATTTGGTGAGATTCAGTCGTGGCGCCATCCAGCGCCAAAAAGGACGTAATCGGAACCCCCGATAACCTCCATAGGAGACGTTTCAGCAAAAAAAAATTTCTTGACCCCATTTCACTCCTACTGGGGTCATAATAGTGCAATAGTGCCGAATTTTTTTCGCATCATGTACCAATTAGGCGCCTTTCGGCGCCACATCTCACTTCTGGCGAACGTTACAATCATAGGAACTATTTTTTGGACTTATTGTTAGTGCTCCAAAAGCTGTCTTCATTTTTTCCACTTTTTTAGTTTCTCTATTTGGAACACAATGATGGGGACTTCCTTGCTAGCGATGCCTTGGGCATTACAACAGGTTTCGTTTTCCTATTTTCTCCGAGTTACATTATATTTCAAAATTTGTGGGTAATTTGTCATAGCCATTGGCGACAAATTTCAGTGCCCTCGAAACTTGCGAGCTTATCTAGAATCGCTTGTCCATGAGGGTATGGTAATGGCTTTTCAACGATCGTACCCCATATCTAAGAGTACCTCTTATTGTAAACTTTTTTGTTGGTTGTAGCCTTTCATTAATTGATACCTAAGGGAAGGACGGAGTTGGACGCGTGTGTCTAGTAGATCCTCCTTTTGAGTGTTGATTTTCTGATTATGATAAAATGTTGAGTAGATGGAGGAGGGTTCGCTTGAAAGCAAAGGGAAGTGGTAGTCTTCACAAGAAGGTGCCTTATGTGTTTACCTTTCTCATCGCTTATAAGTGTTTAACACGTTGACGACAAGCTGACGCGCATGCGCGTCAAGAATTTCGCACCGCATCGGACATTCTGACGCGCAAGCGCGTCAAGTCTATGCTACTCACTTTTATCGTGCTTGCGCTCCTTCCTCTCGGGTTTCTTGTATTCATTCTATAGATAATACATTAGCATGACTATAAACCGCTTGGCAGCTAGAGTGGTCAAGTATCTTTTGATTAAGCAAAGATTTTCCGAACGCACAAAACTTTCGTTCCGATTCTTTCTTAATAATACTTTCACTGCCGTCAATATTCTTATGAAAGATTTTAGAGTTAGTTGAAACAAAACTCTGTGAGTTTCAATATATTTGATTTGATGGGAGTACTTAGATATAAATGCTTTTAATTTCATTCGCAGCGAAAGTGATGTTTTTTTTACTTCTTCGTGGTTATTATGCGCTCTTCTAAACGAAAACCTTTTGCTACTTATATACTTAACCTTTGTGCGATCGTCCCTTGCCGAAATAGTCCTATGAAATTCAAGTTATTGTGCATTTTTAACAAAAAATAAGCGTAAGTAAGGTGAGGACGGCGCGGTCGCAAAATCGCTCCTGTCCCACGAGGTGCAAAATGCCAAAACATGCGATGTCGTCAACGTGTTAGAAAATGGCGCATGCTGAAATGCATTCTTTTTAACTCTGTGATAATATAAATACGCGGGCAAATCCTTTCGAAAGAGAAGCTTTGGAAGATGCATTAGAAACTTCTAATTTACAGGCTGGTGTATTCTTCGGATTTTTCTCATGTTGGCATTTGCATTTCTCTCTGTTTTTACACCGCTTACCGAGTTGTGGATAGCCCACGTGGCCTGAGTGAGTCTTTTTTTTTCATATGCAAATGCTGGAAAAGTGGGGTAAAAGGATGATAGAAAGCCACGCCTTAAAAGCGAACTCCAGAATAAAACCGGTGTGTAAGAGCTGAAGTGTAAGAGCTTTCTAAATATAATGACGGTGGGTTAAAGTGTGCTCAAAGTGGAAAAGAAAGCAAGAAAAACCATCCAAAGCATTAGAGTTTAAGGTTCGAACTTCACCAACGACAAATTTCGACCTCCTCCGATCCATTTCGGCCTCCTCAACTCACAGCCGTGATTTCGAGCGCTAAATATGTAAAACACGTGTGCGACAAAATGTTTTCAATAATGTTCTATTTGTTCAACACATCGAAGTCATAGTAATACATTGAAGTTTGACCAAAATGATGTGTTACGGCAATGGAAAGGCCAATTTAATTTCATTTCGCTGTAGCGATTTCAAAATTATTCTGGATATTACTTTTTTATGTCTACATGTTCATGGGAATGAAAAGAAAACGAGGAAATGAACTGAACAGACATTTTTGTACGACCTGGAAAACCTCTGCCAAACTGAAGAATATTTGGCCATTCTATGAGCCTCGTCTTGGTTATGTTGATGTATGACCGTAAATGAACATGAAAAATTTGGGAAGAAAGTCGGGCATACACGCAAAAATAAATGTAGTGTTATGGCGTACATAGTTGCCACAATGTCTGACGTGGCCTGCAAATGGCGGCATACATTGTTGCCGCGCTGTCGTCGATGTGTTACACGTCGTGATCTTTTCAAGATCTGCGGTATGGATGAACGGATGGACGAAGGATGCGTCGTCAGATCGTAATTGAACTGTCAACAAGGTACATCCAATAGTCCTACTGGTAAACGTTGACAGAACGTGGTAGCCAAAGAGTGGTTGTGAATATTGTTGGCAATCAAAACATATTCATTGTAGAGTACAGATTCGAAAGTTAAGCAATGCGAAGGATTGCGTGAGGCTTAGAAATGCAAGTCTGTCGATTCTTTGAACGAGCCGATAGGGGTCCTATTGAAGTTGTATTTGTGGAAATAAAGAACTTCGCTGTTATTTGCGTTCGAGTTCTGTTGACAATTTACGGCTGGATTTAGTCATTTTTTCCAAACTTGAATGCCTTCAGTTTCTGTTCAAAACGAGGTGCTATAAATATGTTTTGCAGCTGGTGGTATAGATCCAATAATGATGGAATTCTCGGATGTGTGTCGGTATTTCTTGGGAAAAGGTGGAGAATATCTTGCCGTTGTGTTCTCGGTGATTGTTCTACTTGGCGGCATAATGGTCTATTGGGTTCTCATGTCGAACTTTCTCTACTACACAGGAGCTGTTGTTTACGGTATGGAAATGAGTTTTTGGCGATCAGGGAGAAATAAGTAGTGAAGAGTGCTTTTTCTGTCGACAGCGCAATGGAGTTCGGCTTCTATGAAACTTTCAGCCATCTTTAGTGTCCCTGATTTTTAAAGAAGCTACTTCATTATTTTCAGAATCTCTACAACCGAACAGCACGACTATTCCTATTATGGAGAACAAGACCTTCACCTGTGACGGTAAGCGGTTCCTCCTTCTTTTATTGTATTTTATTGTATTTATTCTTCCTTTCGGGTGTGAGGAACCCAACGAAAAGCGTGATTTTAGTATTGGCTCATTGCTAAATTCACCCTACGTCAAATTGTACTTCCTGAGCGCTACAGCTATGCGCAGCTCAACAACAAAACTCTTAGGACTTGGGCGAGTGTCTTGCTGAGCACTTGAGAACAGTGAGGGCTACGAAGATCAACACCACCGAGTTCGTGGTCGTTCCCAGTCTGCATCACAGAACGGCACTCTGCCAAAAAATCAAAACTTCATGTTTCTCATCCGAAGATATGGTGCTCACCATTGTCAAATCGTCCACAGCGATCTGTGTTTCTCCCTCAAAAACCTGCTCAATCTGAGCAATAGACACTACTGATTACAAAATTGTACCACGGTCGAATATTTCGCGACAGATAGAGAAGCCACCGTGAAAGCTCCATTTCTGAGCGTTGTTTCGACGGCTGTCTCTTTCTTCCCCCTTCTCTTCCTTACCAGGGAGAATCGAATACATTTCTTGGGAACCATTTACAATGACAGTATTGATACCATCGGCCCCGACGGAAGGAGGGGGGGGTGATAGTGAGACCTCTGTTGGAGGTGTCGTACTCACACGCGTGGGACGGACGCGATTTTGTGGGCGCCGCCGCCTCACCACATCACCTCAGATTTTGTACTGTAAATGAACAAAAACATGAATGCCACAAAATGATTTCAGCAATGTTCAATGTGTAAAGATTATCTAAACATATAATAGTAGGATTTCGATCAGAACGACGAAATAGTGGTTACGAAAAGAGAGCATTTATTCACTTTCCCCGTGAAGGATTTAAAAGCATTTCTCACTCGATTACGAGATTTACCCACCTATCTGTCCATTCCTAGCGCCTGGCAAGCGATTATCAGCTGGCAGCCCATATGGGCTGCCATCGTCCCAGGAGCGCATGTTGTTGGCAGCCCATATGGGCGGCCATCGGCGTGAATGTGTTTAAAGATTAATGATGTTGAAATTGATTTTCGGCTCTAAGCTTCGCGTGATCAGTTGATTTCCAGCTTGGATCACTCACTTGTTGTTTGAAAAGATAATCATTTTCCAGTGTACTGTCCGATGGAAAAGTCTGCTCTGTCATATCTGGAGAAAGGAAGTGAAGAGTTCTTCGAACAGTGGTCTCAACCTTCATGGGATTTCGATAGTCTTTGGCAATTGCAGGTACTCATTTCTAGCTTCTGTTGGCCAATTATATGAAGTTCTTTTATCACTTGTGGAGGGAACGGCGTGCGGCATGGGGGGGGGGGGGGGGGGTGAGGGTCTGAAGTGAGAAGCAGAATTCCTTGTGTTTGCCGATATATCCCTTGCAATGGGGCACTTTGTATTTTGATTGGTTCTGTAGGCTCATTTTCAGATTTATTAACTGCTGCAAACAGTGACCATCGGAGTTCACTGTAAACTGCAGTGTCTTCAATAGTCATTCTCTAGGATAAATATCTTGCTGTACGTTTTCAATTCTAAAGGGCGGAAGTGGTGCAGTGACAAGTGGCGCGCTCACCACGCGAGCGGTCCGGGGATCAAATCCTGGGTCGTGAGTCGCCCGGGCCAACCAAGCCTTCCATCCCTCCGGGGTCGGTTAATTGGTACCAGACTTGTCTGGGAGGATAAAAACACTGACTTGTACATCGGCTGGCCCCCGCAAGTCATTGTATAGGCCACATCGCATTCAAACGCCACTGCGAATGTACAAATGGAAGTAGAATGCGTGCCGCATCCCAAAAAGGGATTGATCAACGGCAAATGCTTTATCCTTTATCCTTTATTGTTACAAAAATAAAAAATAATTAGCACTTCGCAAAAGTTCGGGTTGAAAACGCGTTCCTTGTGTTGTGATGGATCGAGACTAGCTCCAAACGTCCAATTGACGTGATAGGACATCAGTTTAACCTTTTCGGACCGCTGACACCCATGGGGTCCTCAGGGTAGGACTGATTTTTTCAAGATTCGGTTTTTTCGACTGAGGGTTTTATGTTGTTACATATCTATGTAACATACTTATGTCGAACGTATGAAAAAACCTAGTTTTTTTAATCTCTCTCTCTCTAGTTCCTAAAATAACCAAAAATTAACTGGATTTCCATTTCGAGCTAAGGAAAAACAGTTATAAATCATTTGAAAACTCTTCATACAACAGAATTTATGCCACCACGTGCACGTCGTATCTGATGCTATTGCATCCAAACGTTTCGGACATTTCTGGTCCCTTTTTTCCCCATTACAAACTTATTTTGAACAATTTTCATTCCTGCCTCCCTTTTTATGGCCCTATTATGTTTTTTATACAACAGTTCTAGTCAAATTCACCACATAGATGCTCTTAGACATGACAATCACAAAAATGGGATAAAATAATGGTGTTGATGGAAATAAAGGTCAAATATATTATATTTATATTCGCCGCGCAGCACGCGGCGGTAAGCATAAAAAGGCGCCGGCCACACGCGCCCGCCACGGCAAAAGTGCGCGGTCCGGAAAGGGTTAAATATCTCTGAGAGCAGAGATAGCAACATTACTAAGAGTAAGAGATGAAGTGGATATGCATATGAGGAGGGTTTCATGCGATAAGCACTATTCGAATGGTTTCATTTTTAGCGCAGAACCAGTGTATTAACATGTTCAAGCGTTATCACCGACAGAGTGCTCGGATGTGGTTTAGTCCTGCCATTTTTGTAATTTTGACCGGCACGAACACGTGACAGTCATTCGGTTTATCTTTCTTGCGCATGTTAACAATAATAACATCATCCTCTTCCCCAATTGAACAGGATGCTCGTTCTGTTTCTTCCTACCATTGTTCGATTTTCGTCGCTCAAATGTTCTGGTAATCTGACCAAAATTTTCCCAAAATATAAGGAGATGAGCAGAATCACTGCTGGTCGAGCTCCTCTGGCTAGTGTGGCTGGAGATATTCTGTACTTATATTCTTTCTTTTGCTAAGTAGCTTAGATCTTCCAAGAGGTAAGGGTGGATAGAGCATTTGACGCTGAATCAGTCCTTCCCTTCTGGACGCGCCACGCATCCCACTTCTCGCTCAGAGAAGTGGTGTCACGTTGAATGTTATTTGACTCATTTAATGACGTGTGGCTACCAGCCAATGTACGAGTCAGTATTTTTATCATCTCAAACAAGTCTGGTATCAACTATTGAATCGCGTAAGAAGCGAGGGCTTGGTTGGCCTGGATAGAGGTACGATCTGTGATTTAATCCTCGGTTCGTGCACGTGGTATGAGGGGCCACCTGCCACGGTCATAACGCCGTTTCAATATTATACAGTTTCTAACTGAATTTGTGGAAAAACAAGACGAGCTTTTAGGCTGTACTAAGAAGAAACCTCTGTGTAGACCAAACACTAAATGTTCATATCAATCTCGACCCTTTGTTTGAATGGTGTAGATTTTCTCGAATCTAATATTTTATTTTTTCTGGGTACCGTTCCTGTATACCTCGCCATCATAACTCTTCCTCTGATGAACTTCAAGTCACCGACGTTTTTCACGAAGTTCAATGTATTGGGGACGATATCGGTGTTCTATCTGCTTATATTTACCGGCTCAAAACTACTTGAATGTGGCATGAACATGAATTTCGGTGATCCAAATTCGATTCATTACGCTGCAGGTAAGGTCATTGTTCAATTGTCTTGCTATTTTTCAAGGGTCATTTATCATGTATTTTTTTCAGCATTCAGTTGGCGATTTCCTGCTCTTACTGGTACATTAACGTTGTCTTTTTTCATTCACAATGCGGTGCTTACTATACTTCGAAATCAGAAGAATCCCGAAAACAATGTGAGTGCATTAGTACTAATTGCCTCATTAGTTCAACCATCACACTTCAAATTTTCAGTGTATTCATTGCAAACGAAACTTAGTGCTGTTTAGGCTCGTGATCTCTCAATCGGTTATTTGTTAGCCGCTCTGTGCTACGTGTTCATCGGTTTTACGTTTTATGCCGGCTTTCCAGTGCAGAGAACTTGTATTAGTGACGTAAGTTTCCATGGTTCCTAGGAGTGATGACCGATTCGCTTCGAAATTCTGCGACACTAGCAGCAAACGGTTACACGAAGAATCGTAATAATGGAAAAGTTGTTTGATTCTTTATGCTGTCATTGCTACACCATATTGTTTATTATAACCATGCAAAATTGAAAGTCTGGAAGTAAAATTCGGATTTGGAAGAGATAGATGATAACACTTTCAGAAGTTTGTGTTATGTATATAACCAGTTTGGCTGCGCACGCATTTGCGTGCATCACACGGGACCGCAATGTTATGAAACGGACCATCTGTAATTTTATACAGCTTTGTGGCAAACTCCGCCCACCTCGGTGCCACCTGCCAGCAGCAATTAGCCCGCCTTCCGTTGTCAGACCCTATCCACTTTTTCCCGGTTTCCAGGACTTCTTGGAAGCGAGTAGTAATGTTTCGTGGATAACCCCATTCCGGTGCACGCCCACGCACCTACAGTATTGACCTTCATCCCGTTTGCAGGCCCTACCCACTTTTTTCGCGATCTCCAGGACTTCCTGGAACCGAATGAGCAGGGTGAATAACGGTCGAGGAAATCCTCGACAGGGGGTCGTATTTGCTCCGATGAGAGTTGGGAGGGGGTCGTAATCAAACGGTTCATCAACGGACACAACAGTGCGCTGCCACTTATTTGCTGTCATCATTAGTTTAGAGCCCAATACAAATAATATCTTGACAACTGTTATACGAGGAATTAAAATTTAAATGGAGAGTGGGTTGTAGGTTTGGCTCGTAGTGGCATAGGAAGGCCCTGCAAAAGAATCGTAGGGAAAGGGCAGCGAGTATCTACTCTAGAATGATGTACATGCTTCGAGAACTTAGTGGAGGAACAGCATCTTGTTAGAAAGTTCAAAACAGGCAGATTCGCAGCCTTCTTGGCATCATCAGATCCTGCAACCGCAAGCGTGTCATTCATCAGAACGGGTTGGAAAGGAAGCGATTTGAATAAAGGAATGATCAGACATCACTATGACCACAAGAGTTATCCTAATTAGTTAATACTGGAAATATCTTTTGGTGTGCTTAAGCAAGTCGTCACTAGGACAAAACACCTTCCCAATGACTCCGAGTGGGGTCACTGCATGGCGCATACAAGAACGGAATGGATCTGCGCCAAGTGCATCATTTTCAATTTACTCCATCGAACTGACGTGTACAGAAGCATTTTGAAGGTGTTCAAAGAAGTTCCCTACTACGGCGAGGGAGTAATAGAGTTTTCGAGTGGCTTCGAAAATTTCCTTGACATTTCCTCGACGCAGATTTCTCGCGAACTAGAAAGCGTTCGAAACAACTGGAGCACCTATCAAAAGCGTAAATCTTCTACTTTACAACGCTTTCCTCCGATTTTCAAAGCATTGCCAATGAAGACAGCTACTGTCTTCCAAAGAGTGGGAACTCGCATGTAAATTTCAATTTCCTCGACAATTCCTCGACGTCTCCCACTCTCGAGAATAGGCGTGCTTAGAAAAACGCTCAGCACAATTTAGAAACTAGAAGTCTTGTGCATTCAAAAGCTGCCTTCACTTTCTGAAATGGTTATCAATGAAGAAAGTTATAGTCCTTTAAATAGGGGGTACATTGACGATTTTTCCAACTAGCGCGCTCTAGGCACGCGCGACGCGATCGGGTAGTTAGCGCCGCTATACTGGAGCGCGAGACTGTTCAACTGTGTAGGGGCAGTACCTCCTTCAATGTTCCACTTTCCGGCCAATGTGGCAAAGGTTAAATGTCTTTAAAGGAGAACCTAATCTGAGCATTGAATCTAGCATTTGGATCAAGCCGCATTTGCGTGGCAGCGGCGCTGCGTCCCTCTCGCACATCTGAAACTAGCATTTTTTGATATGAAACGGATGTGCAGAGGACAAAAAGGGGTCGTATCAGAGTCCATGTTTTGGAGGGGGGTCGTAAAGAGGCGGTTATTTCCTCGACACGATTTTCACCCTGGTTCGAGAGGGTTGTCGTGGCCAAACTTTTGCATCTTCGTGGCACTTCGCAGCGCGCCACGCCCTTCGGTAGCGGGTGACCTCCGTTCCTTTGCTGGACCGGATCCACTTGTTTCCCTGTCCCCAGAACTCCTTGGAATCGAGTATAACTTCGGTGGCAGACTCCGCCCACATTGGCGCACGACACGCCCTCCACCCACATTTAAACTTCTCTCTTCTCTAACTTTATTCACTTTTTCCCCGGCACCTGGGGCTTTCTGAACTGAATTATGAGGATTTGCAATGAACCCCCCCCCCTACTTGAAGACGCGCTACGCCTCTTTGGGCAGACTTCCACACAGTCCAGGTATGCTGTGATAAGAGATAGATAATGCTCTCCCAAACCGATTTTTTCCTGCTCCACAAGCTTCCCTCAACTGAGTTATGAGCTTTTTTTATTGAGCACCGCTCGTTTAGAGAACGCTCCTCGCACCACTGGCGGGTCACCCAAATTCGCTCTCATCAACTAAGTTCAAACCTTTACACATTTTTTCCCTTTTTTGGGCTGTTCTGTAACCAATCTCAAACTTTGCCGTCGGCACGCCCACTGTGGGCGGAGCCCCGTCCAGCTGATATGTGTTTTGCACTTCATGACCCATGCCCCACTCGTCCCAAAGTTGATCCGGACTCTGCAGTTGGTTCTCCAGGTAGCATCGAGTTCCGCGATGACACGGCTACACGGCTCTCAAACCACCTCTTTTGTCTCAAAATTACAAAATGTCGATTGGAAAATCGTAGCCAGTGATCATTTTCAACCCAACTATGAAAACCCAGATGAGGATGGATCTACGGGCTATTTGAACTTTCTCCTCTAATCGCCTCTTTTGGTATCTGATTTCTGTCAATCGTGAGGCTAGGCAACTCAGCACATGTAGTCTGTATGGGAGCTCCCACACACGCGCAGTATTGCAGCATCTCTGCTTTCTTTATTTTCTTCAAAAATCTCAGTCTTAGTACTACCTAGACCATATGCTTCCCGGAGTCCCTCCTCCTCCAATTGGCATTAGAGCCCTCACCTTCCTCTTTGGGGACTGACTTTTACAAAATTTTGAAATAGCTCGACAGCATATTCTCATCGTAGTGTAGGGATGAATTTGATTGTCGCCAAAAATATTCAAAAAGTCTGAACGTTGCAGGTAGTAGGCTTCGTGGAGAATATGTAGGGATGCATAAAACGGCTATGGAAAAAATCACCATGTTTGGGTTGTTTGAAGAGTTGTGGGGTGGTTCATGTTGATGTAAAAGTACTTGTTGGGAAGGCTGCGACAATTTTTTTTTCAGTGGATGTTCTCCTCCCTAGAAAAGCATACTGTAGAAAAACTGATTTCTTTCCTTAGAGATCTTCAGAAGATATACAAAATTTTCGATTTCCAGAATTTTTTGAACAACTTTGGTGCTGGCGACATTCTAAGTAGTACTGCCAGATTGTTTCTACTTTTTCAAATGATCACTGTCCTCCCTCTTCTGATGTTCCTGATCCGATCACAGCTCTTCTACGCCTTCATGGGGAAAACGTGGCCTGGGTAAGATTTTGATAGTATTCTTTGCAGTCAAACGTGATCTCATTCTTGTACTGATCTTTCAGTCTTGTACCAGTTATTCTCTTGAACTGTGGAATTATCTGTATTGCGGTAACGGTTGCCATACTGTACCCCAAAGTTGGCAGTATACTTAGGTACGAAATTTGATATTTAAATTCAAAAAATCAATCAATTAAAAGCTCGTCCAGTTATTGAACCAAAAGGTGTTGTTCAGATATGTCGGCTCGCTCTCTGGTTTGATCTACGTGTTTGCCTTACCATGCTTGGTTTATATGAGGAAATTGCATATGGAAGGCCGTCTTACGCCCACAAAACAATTCATCCACACCACAATCATCGCTATAGGTGTTCTGAATTTCATTTCACAATTTGTTATTTGATCATACTTTTTCCTCTTCTTTCAATTTCTATGAGTTGTAGCCGCTGGTGAACAATGTTGAACGGGGTTGTGTCTTTTCTAGGTCGTAGTCATCTCTGTTATTTTGTTTATTTATTTGTCAAGCAAATGAA